TGGTAAGAACTACACAGTGAGACTTTATCTCTAATAGATAAAACAAACATATACATTTCTAAAGGTCTATGTAAAGCATTTCTTGATTAATGACTGAGGTAGAAGGGTCCTGCTCACTATAAGCAAGCAGTACCATCCATGGGCAGGAGGTCCAGGATTGCAATAGAAAGAAAGCATGCTGGGCAAGGTAGTAAGTAGTGTTTTTCCATGTCCTCTACTTCAGTTCCTGCCTCCAAGTTCCTGTCCTAACTTCCCTTCATGAGGGACTGACTGTAAGCTATATATAAGTGAAAGAAACTTTTCTCCCGAAGTTCTTTTGTGAACGGTGTTTATCACAGCAATAGGAAGCAAACTATCACAGGTTTCTGATCTTCATACATGTACAGCATGTATTTAACTGAACTGATTAAAACCATGCACCTCAGAAAGACCAAACAGGACCTTAAACCTTAGAATCTATTAATTCACTAACCTATCTTGTAATTTAACCTTAAAGGAACATGGTGATGGTGTATACCTTTAATTCTAGCACCTAGGAAGCAAAGGCAGGCAGATCTCTGTGAGTTTGAGGCCAGCCTAGTCTACAAAATGAGTTCCAGGACAGCCAGGACTACAGAGAGAAACCCTGTCTTGACAAAAAAACAATCAATCAATATTAAAAAAAAAAATCAACCTTTTATCTTGTAAAAATTGTTTTAGGCACAATTCCACTGATTTTTCCTTGGGTGACCCTAAGGTTGTACCACAGTCCTAAACTGATACGATTCCATTGGTCTCTAGGCTGCAAAGGTTGAGCATTACCGATATTTGGTAAACGGAGCCTAAGGTCAGGATGCAGCTTGTATCTGCCACAGAACCCCCTGGAGAGGGAAGTAAATCTGCAACCTCACAACTTCTTGTTTTTTTATGTTTATTTACATGTAACTACTTGACTAATTCACTGAGTGTAACTGGAAGACTAATGTTTACATATACCTACTAAGTGCCAATGCACTAGTAGTTTATGATACTTCCTGTTTATGGGGCCCTTTTCTGTTTGAAAAGTTAGAACATCAACATTTAATCCTTATCTTGGAGATTAACACAGTTGTGAGCTATTGTGCTAAAATAAAAGGATTTGAGGAGTCACTGTTCCTTCTAAAATTGTTTCTGATGGTAGCTTTCTACTGTATTTTATCTTTGGTTTTTATTTTCATAAAAATGAATAAAGCAGAGATTTCATACTCTTCTGTGCCCCCCCTCCCTTTTCCTTTTTCTACACACGGATGGCTATAAACTCACAATCACCCTGCCTCAGGCTCCTCAGTAGGGATCCATTAGGACTAAGGATGTATACCACAAAAGCCAGCCAGGTAGAACAAAATACTGTGGTTTTTACAAATTAGGTTGCTTGAAACCCAAGCTCAGTCCCTAGGATTCACATGTGCATCCTGGTACAGATGAGACATACATATAAAATAAATGTATTTTTTAATTACAATATTTGTGTATTGGTAATTTCTTTCCTTAATCGCTTTATATTCCTTGGTGAATTTTATTTTCTGGAATCCTTTCAATAAATCTTTTTATCATAATCATTGATGCATACTAACTGTACAGATTAGGTTTATGGCATTTCTGTATATGTGTAATTATGCTTTATGCTTGCCTTCCCCTCTCCCCACTCTGTTTTCTCTTCACTAATGGTCTCTCTTCAGAGAAAGCATGCCATTATTTGTCTCTCTGACTTAACTTGCTTCATATGATGCTTTCCCCCAGTTCCACCAACTTCTAACCCTAACCCTGGAAATAAACAAATGTAATACATTGTAGAATAGAAGGCCAAAACCAAAAATTACTGAAATTAAAATATGTGCTCTGAAGTGAGAGGAGGGGGGGTCAAAACTATGGAACCCTGGAATGTTACATCACAATTGCAGTATGGTGGCACGTAACTGTTTGAACTCTGAAGGACCAGAAGTGCAAATAACCTAGCTACATGGCAAATGAGGCCAGTCCGGTCTGTAGGCGACCTTCTCAACAAACAAGCTAAACTAAACTGAAACAAAACAAAAAGTTATGGTTAAATATGTGGAACATCACAAATGAGATAAATTTTAGTTTAGAAAACACATATACTATGTTTAGCGCTGTGTCACTATTACCTAGACGTGTGTATTACAAGACATAATCTACTAAAAGAACAATATCCCAAACTAGTCACAAGATTACTATGAATCTGTTTAGATTGAAACTAATAACTTGGGGTGCTTGTAAGATGGCCCATCGGGTAATTTGCTTGTCGCACAAGCGTGAGGACTTGAGTTCCAATCCCCAGAACCCATATAAAGCCTGGCAGACATCTGAAATACCAGTGCTTCTGTGGTGAAATGAGCAGCACCGGCCAGTTAGCCTGTGTATGGAGCAGGGTGTAAACAACCTTGTCTCAAGATAGAAGTTAAGGATGAATACCTAAGGTTGTCTGCTGAACTCTGCATGTTTATGTGGGACATTTTTTGAAAAGTCACTAGGCACTAATTGTATTAAAACTAGCAATAATCTATTTCAGGGAGGGTGATCACTATTATTCAGCATTGAAATTCATGTGTTAAGTAAAACTTATTCCCATTCTTGAATTAAGGCAATCTAAGTGCATCTATGTTTTGGGGAAACATTCAAACCCAAGATTGGTTTTTAAAAAGTTGAAGACTGCTTCCTGTCCTTTCCCCAGTCGAGAGTTCCACAGCACAATGATGAGAGAGAAGTGAGACACATCCAACTAAGTAATAGATACAAAGCAGCTTGGAGAAAATGAGACTGTGTATATCCCCCTATACTTCATCTGTTTAAATTTCTCTTTAATTTACTACACAGAATTCACTTATTTTCTTTACACAATGTCATAATAGGTATTTAATATCTACTGATAGATGGAGCAGAACCAGAACTACATGATGCAAATGAACACTTTACAATGCCTGCGTTCCCTACAGAGAAAATGAAAGCAAGCTAGGAATAAAGCAAAATACAAGTTAAAACTATACTCATACATGCACTTAATCTGAAAACAGTATTTGAAAGGAGCCCTAGACACCATGCAAAAATCAAACTAAATCAAGAACTATCTTCCCAGTAAAAGGGATTACAAAACAGTGCTGCCAAACCAAACTAAAGGCAGCACAAAACATCTTGACCAATGGCCTTTCTACAACACTCAAGTACTTAACCATTTTCTAGATTTTTATTTTAAGGATTTCTCACCCACATTCCCTTCTTTCTTTCTTTCTTTTTTTTTTTTTTTTTTTTTTTGGTTTTTTCGAGACAGGGTTTCTCTGTGGCTTTGGAGGCTGTCCTGGAACTCACTTTGTAGACCAGGCTGGTCTCGAACTCACAGAGATCCACCTGCCTCTGCCTCCCAAGTGCGGGGATTAAAGGTGTGCGCCGCAAACGCCCGGCCCACATTCCCTTCTTAACCTAAGCAAAAATATAAGCACAGATAACCTGGCAATGTTAACACAAGTTAATTAAAAGCCCTATCCAACACTAAGAGCAAAGGGAGAGACAATAGGTCTATATTCTCCTCCATTAAGATGCCTGCAAACTTCCTTAAGCACTGCTTCGTTTCAATCTTCTCCAGAAATGTCTTTGTACCTACCTGGATTTTTTACATCTGCCAACTTAAGTTTAGAATAGGCCTGGGGGAATGGCTCAGCAGGTAAAGGTGTTTGCTGTGAAGTCCCACTAGTACCAACTTCTGAAGCCACGAGGCAGAAGCACAGAACAAACTAAGGGAATTATCTACATAAAATTATTTTTTAATATTTTTAAAAAATCAAAACGGTCATAAATCAAATTTTAACAAGTGTAGAAACACAAACTATTTTTTTAAGACACCACTGATGGAAAAAAAATCAGAGTATTCAACAACATTCTTTCATAGCTTGCAGAGGACACGAAGCCCAAAAGACCTGTTGGGGGCAGAACCTAATAGCAGCCTCTAAGTCCTCCAGTTCTTGTAAGAGTAATTCATGCAGGAAATCACAGGAATCAACTTAAAGTAGATGCCTAAATAAATAGGATTAGGATGAGCAGATTTTCAAAAGGAAAAATACATTATGCTATGACAGCAAGTGGACAATTCAGTGAAAAGAATTATCATTCAAAATTGTCGTCTTTTACGTGGTCGACATTTCTGCACCAGATCTAACACTTTTTGATCTTGTGTTTGTTTTTCTTTCGTAAGTTGGATTTAGCCATTAGCCAGTGTTTCCCAAAATGAACAAAACTTTTACTTTATTCCGACTTAAAAAACAAAGATTCAAATGTGATTGATTTTTTTTTCTTTTCTTTTTTCTTTTCAAGATAGGGTCTCTCTGTGTATCTCTGGTTGTCCTGAAACTCCCTCTGTAGATCAGGCTGGTTTTGAACTCACAGAGATCCACCTGTCTCTGCCTTCCTGGGTGCTGGAATAAACGGAGTGCACCACCACCGCCCGGCTGTGATTGGAATTCTTAAAAATATAGTTACAAAGCTGTTTGCTACTGAAAGAAACTGTGTTAACTTTTACCTACAACACTATGCGAAAACAGGCAAAACTACAGGTTTAAGAATTCTAAGCAAGTATTGTGTGTGAGCCGAAATACATGTCAAGGTGCACAGCTTTTGAAAAGAATAAAACGCAATTCATACGATGCTAGCAGTAACTATAAGTATTCAACTCTATGTATGGTAGAATTAGCGTGTTCAACTTTACTGAATAACACACACCATTTCTGCAACACAAAAGCGCTGTCCACGCCGAATCACACAGGAAAACAACTTAGTTCTCTTTGGCTTGCCTTCAATAACCCGAAAAACTCCCGTTTCAAAAACCAACCTCTCTCATTCTTCAGCCCTGAAATGAAAAACTTCCATCCACTAAGAACTAAAACGGAGCCGTCCAGAAACCCGCGGAGTCAGAAGGCCGCGAGAGGCGACCCCTCCGACCGGGTTCTGAGTTCTCCCAGGTGACATCATTTCACCTGCGTCTCAGCCTGGCAGGGGCGGGCCGGCCCCCCGCCGCGGCGGGAACAAAGAGCGCCGGGCTGCCGGGAAACGTCGGCCAAGCGCGGCCCGCCGGCTCCCCACCTCCCGCGACCAGTACCGCCCTCGCGCGGGAGCCAACGGCCGCCGCGGCCAGTACCTGCGAGGGGAGGCTCCGCCCTGCGGAGTTGCTCCCACCGCTCCGGGCCGGGCCGCCGCCTCCTATTGTGACCGCTCGCCCCGCCAGCGGCCAGCTCGCCAGGGCCGCCGTCCCCGGGCCTCCTCGCCCCCGGAACCTGGGTTCCGACTGAGGCGCTGTCACCGCGCTTCCTTCCTCCAGGCACCATCACACGGGCCTCGCCAGGAAACCACGGCTCCACGTCCAGCCCTGCAGGAGCCGGCTAGCGCCTCGGAAGACCCATCCTTTCCGCCCAGAGTCCCAACCGCCCCGGTCTCCGGAGGCCCGCCGCACGAGGGGGACGCGCCCCGCCCCAAGGCACTCCGCCTCAGCGCTCGCGGACCCGCACCGGCCGCGCCAGCGCAATAGGTTGCGCTGCGCGCGCAAGCGATACCCGGGCGCTAGGTCTCCGGCCGCGGAATGTAAGGGCCTCCCACCTCTGGATCCGGACGCGCGCCCCTCCCCTCGCCCGCACAAACCTAGCCAGCCAAGCGCAGGACCGCCAGGGAGCTCCGCCTCTTCCCCCGCGCCGAGCCCCCTTTGTTTCCACCCGCGGGGGCGGGGCTGCTCATGCAGGCCGCTCAGGCCAGTTCCGGCAACAGAGCCGCTGCGCAGCACCGCTGCGCAGCACCGCCCAGCTCACTCGCTCGGCCCGGGCTAGCTGCAAAGGTGGAGAGGTGCGTGGCAGCGCCTTCCAGAGCAGACGTACCTAACAGCAGTGGCAGCTTCCGCTCCAGCCAGCAACTCCAAAACTGCAGTGGAGCAGAAAACCTCACAATATAATATGTATTTACTTGACCGAAGAAGTAGGACTTTTTACTGATGCACACAAAGGGTCTCACAACAGAACAAGCAGGTTTGTAATCTAACTTGTCCGACCCCTCAGGACGAGTCTGAGATTCTCTGACTTTACTGATACGAAATAAGCTCGAATGCTAAAGCCGGTTGGTTCATGATTGAATTCAAGACCCAATAGAGAAGACAAACCCTATAATGGCGCAATAAACACAAGGAAAAAGATCGCAGAATGCCATTGTAAATTATGGAAGCGGTGGACTTTTTAAGCAAATTATAAGAGTCTTTAAAAGTTCATATTTAAAATGTGAAGTGAAACTACAAAACAAGAAGCAGAAAATCCAGACCCAACAGGGCGTGGTGGGCTCACACACTGGGTAAGCTGAGAAAAGACTTCTGAGAGGTTGAGATCCGCCTGGTCTAATGGTTAAAGCCCTAGCGTGGGGGTAGGAGGAGGGGGAAGAGGACAGAGAAAGGAAAGCAATACTTCTTTAGTCTCCTTCCGAGTCTCAGTGACGTCAGGTAATGTAAACAAAACGAAAATGTTTCAGGATATTTTTGGACCTTATCCATTCTGCTGATTAATAACGCCATACGGTAATTGTGTACATTTGTCACCAGTATCAGACTGAACACCAGTGCTCTATTGTGAGTCTTAACTCCAAGCCCACAATTTCAGGTGTTTAGCAACTACTGAATCAAAGTTCTAGCAATAATTCTAGCACAAAGAAGCTGGAATGAGATAGCAGGCCCCTGTGAAGTATCCCCTCACAGCAGTTCTACACTCCCATATGTAGCTGATCACACACACACACACACACACACACACACACACACACACACACACACACACCCTCTGCCGGTTTTATAAAGCAGTTTGGAGACAACATTGAAAGTTGTAAGTCCTAAACAAGCCTTTGGGTGCATATAGTGGGTGCACCTTCTCTAAATTCTCATTCTCTCTCTCTCTCTCTCTCTCTCTCTCTCTCTCTCTCTCTCTCTCTCTCTCTCTCTCTCTCTCTCTCTCCTCTCTCTCTCTCTCTCTCTCTCTCTCTCTCTCTCTCTCTCTCTCTCTCTCTCCTCTTTCTCCCTCTCCTCTTTCTCCCCTCTTCTCTCCACCCCCCACACCTTTCTTTGAGACAGGTTCCTACCATGTAGTCCTCATTGTCCTAGAACTCACACTTTAGACCAGGCTGGCCCCGAAATCAGAGATCTGCCGGCCTCTGCTGATATTAAAGTCAATCAGAGGCATTCAACACTACACAACGCTTGTAAATGTCTTCTTAGCCCCCAAATCTGATACTGATAAAGACACAGTAATCGTTATGCTTTTGATAAGAGACAGCCGACTCTTAATGTGGTGGGGCTGAAACTTATATCTGAGTAGTTGTGAACAGTAGTCTACCTAAGCTTTACTTGCTGTCTTTCCACAATGGCAAAAAGCCCCGGAGAGCTGCTTTAAAAAACAAAACAAAACTTTCTGTAATGGGGATTTTCTACATCTGCACAGCCCAGAAGGTCATTAGCTAGATACTAGCTTCATGTGGCATGGCACTTGGGATGTATGTAACTAGTACATGCTAGTAAACTAACAACATTTTAGAGTTGTATATACAGCACCTGAAAGAAAAGTTGTTGCTGTGGCAAGAGTTTCTTGAGAATTCTGACTCTGACTCCAAGCCCCCCCCCCCGCCCTTTTAACAACTGGTTTTCATGACAGGTGGAAATTGTGAGGGACAACAAAACTTCTTAAAGTATACATTTAAGTTCCTTAAAATTTTATCAATTAATAATTTTATAAATAAAAAAATACAGTCAGCACCATGTCTGTCTGAACACCACCATGCTCCCTGCCATGGTGATAATGAACTGAAAAAAATTTATCAAATCAATGCCTATCAAATAGGAAAATACTGGGCTGGGCGGTGGTGGCGCATGCCTTTAATCCCAGCACTTGGGAGTCAGAGGCAGGTGGATCTGTGTGAGTTCGAGACCAAGTCTGGTCTACCAAGCAAGTTCCAGGACAGGCTCTAAAGCCGCAGAGAAACCCTGTCTCAAAAAAAAACAAACAAAACAAAAAACAAAAAAAAAAAACAGGAAAATACTTCAAAAATGTGTCTGGTAGTTATTTATTGACATCAGTCCAGGTAGGTTACATTCTAATGCAAAGGAGTTATAGCAGTCATTAAAAATCTTGGTTATAGGGAACCATTAAAGATTTTACACTTGGCAGTCAACTGAGAAAACTCACACCACTCCAATTCTGAGTCTATCCTCATTTTCTCAAGGGTTTGACAATTCTTTTCATGCCATCATATTTTTCTCTGTATTGGGACATTACTAGAACACTAACACACCATTAGTTTTGTCCACCCTTAAGTTTTTAGCTATAACTAATGGTTTGGTATTGATCTGCTGTTACATTATTTTAAAACTCTTATCTAGTATGCTGAAGGCCTTGACTTACATCCCCCCACACACACCTGTAAAATTTGTTTTTCAGATTTGTTTTACTACATACTAAGGATTATCAAGGTAATTGTTATCTTACGTACTGTTCTATGAAAAGGAAGGCTATAAGGCTACAGGCTGTATTATCTATTTAAACTCTTCTATGGTAAAATAATGCTTATTAAATGCCTGTTTCCCTGATTGAACTTAAGCTCTTTGAAGGAAGTTCATGGTTCTACTTGTCTATCACAGATGACCATGTTGGAGGTATGCTGGAAGGCAAAAAGGGTTCAAAGATGGAAAAGAAGGTCATTTCCTATTTTAAGACATTAAAAGATGATTAATAAATGCAGCTGGGTGGTTGTGTCACAGGCCTTTGATCCTACTGCTTGGGAATAGAGGCAGGGGGATCTCTATGAGTTTGAGACCAGCCTGGTCTACAAGAGCTAGTTCCAGGACAGCCTCCAAAGCTATACAGGAAAACTCTATCTTGAAGAAAGAAGGAGGAGGAGGAGGAGGAGGGAGAGGAGGAGGAAGAGGAGGAGGGAGAAGGAGAAGGAGGGAGAAGGAGGAAGGAAGAAAGGAAGGAAGGAAGGAAGGAAGGAAGGAAGGAAGGAAGGAAGGAAGAAGGAAGTGCACATGAATCACTTGTCTTAGCCTCAGCAGCCATCTTCCAGTAACTCGCCAAAGGGAAAGAGGAGAGCACTTGATATGTTCTCTATGCCTTTTGAGAAACATGGAGTTGCTCCTTTGGCCACATACATGTGCATCTACAAAAAGGGTGATATTGTAGCCACTGTTCAAAAGGAATAAGTGTTACCATGGCAAAACCGGAAGGGTCTACAGTGTCACCCAGCATGATGTGGACATCACTGTAAACCAGCAAGTTGAGGACAAGATTCTTGCTAAGAGAATTAATGTGATGACTGAGTGCATCAAGCACTCTGGGAGGAGAGACGGCTTCCTCAAACAGGTGAAGGAAAACGACCAGAAGAAAAAGGGAGCCAAAGGGAAGGCGCCTGGGTTCAGCTGAAGCGCCAGCCTGAGCCTCCCAGCACACTTTGTGAGGACTAATGGGAAGGAGCCTGAGCTGCTGGAGCCCATTCCGTATGAATTCATGGCCTAATGTACTAATAAAATAAAATAAAGAACCTGGACTGTAGAGTGTTTTTCTTAAAGTGTGGTGTATTCTCCCTGAAAAAAAATGTTAAGCAAATTTTAATTGTGCTAGTTCTCTGTCTTAATTATTCAAGTTTTACCAAGTCTGTCCTCTTCCAAGGAAGGGTGTAATAGGTCTCTAGCCAGAGGCATGGTGACAGCTCCACCAGCACAGGTGATCCAGATCTCACAACCATCTATAATGAGATCAGGTGCCCTCTTCTGTCCTCCAAGCATACATGCAAAGCATTGTATACATAATCAAACAAACAAATAACTCTCTTAAGAGTTAAGGAAAAGGGCAAAGAGGTGGGGGGAAACCCAACAACAAGATACTTCAAAACTTTTCATAAAGCTTGCTTTTCTCACTCACCTTCCTAAAAGAATTTTTCCACTACAAGCAGGCCAAGACTGCATCCACTACAAACAATCCACATAATACAGTTTCACAAGAAATGTGAACACCTGTCCACAGGAAGATTTAATTAGCACCAACTTCCAAACTTCCAATTACAGCTGCTAAGAACCAGAAGGGGGCAGCAAAGGTCCATCCAAATCTAAGCCCACTGACAGTCTTCCTTAGCAGCAGTTAACGACTGGGCTTTGTGGCAGCTGAGTGGTCAAGCGGCTGTTCCCACTGTGCAAGTGAGAGACTACAGTGGTAAGACCACAGACAGTGGAATAATAGAGGAAAAACGTGCCAGCAAGATGAGAAGGGAGTGAAAGAAAATATAGGCTGCAAAGTCAACCAAGGAATTCCAAAGATTACTAAATCAGCATGCCCAGGACCAACAGAGTCAGAACAGGAAAACAGCATTTGAGACACGGAGCTAGGAGCACAAGCATGCATGGTGCAGCATACTCCTCGCTAGGACAGGATGTGCAGGCAGGAACTGACCCT